AAGGAAGTCACAAGAAGTAGGAAATGGGCGAAATTAGTATTGACTTACCTTGTGAGCTGATAGAAGTTCCCCCACTCCATGTTTGTAGGAATTTCATCTTCATGATGCGAAGCAAGAGCAAAGAGAGGGAGAAGGGAGCTGGGAAATTGGTTACGGCGGAGCACAGTTGAGAGGAAGTAGGAAAATGCTTTTATTTCCTATTTTGGGCCTTCCGCCTATGTTGTATTTTGGGTTTTAGTTGATAATCAATAAAAGGACTGCTGGTCCAAAATTTAAATTAAAAAAAAAAATATATATATATACATTTTTAATAAACGTTTCTCTTACAAAAAAAATATTCTTTTGATGTAATAAATTTTATCATGTATATTTATCCCATAAATCTATATCATAAATAATACTGTAACTATAATCTAACTTTGCAACAAATTATATTTATACTATAATGTACATGGTAAATTTTACCAACATGTAATAATTTATACCATGGTTGGACAAATATCTTGTAATTAAGACAGTTTAGGGACTAATTTGAATTAAGAACATTGGCTTAATTGCAAGTCACAACTGATCAACTTAAATAGCAACACATTAGCAAAATGATATTTCAATATTATTATAATATTTCTAGAAATATTACAATTTCGTAATATGTTTGGTTTCTACTGCATTATTCATGTATATATCAGGCATATACGATGTGAGTAATGTCTGCAAGAAACAATTGATGCTAAAGGTGGTGGATGATATATAACTTCACTGAATCTTGATTTTGTAGTTCCAGATCTTGGCCAAATGATTTCACATTTGTTAATTTATAATAATGTTTAAAGTAGAGAAATCTTGAGCTCGAAAATATAAGACGGCTACATTTTCTATTATACACCGAATAGGGAGCCTGTTGGTGATATCTCTCTCAGCAACATCAATGTAACACTTGAGATAGTTCAATGGTTATTATTAAACTGTCGTATATGATCCACAATTCTGACCAACCAAACTAACCCTATTACATAACAAATTATTTGAAGTATTCAATTATTTTAAAATTTATGGGGACCAGACTTGAACATAGATTACTGATGGAGTTATGGTGGGAATAATAAAATAACAATTCAAACTTTCAAAGGTCTCCTTTTTAAGTCCACAATAGTTAATAATCACGTTTTGTGATAATTACTATTAATCGTCGTCATTCAACATTTGATTTTAAGTGTTCATACATCAAGGATAGCGCACATCCCTCATTTCTACTTTAATTAATGGATGATCAAAGATCTTATAATGACATGGGCCTAATATATATAATCCATTTTCATTTATTTATATTTTTGGTTTTATATTGATGCCATGTGCATATGAATTCTGAATATAGCTTATATTTAGCTTACTTTTCCTTATCAGTTCCATTTGAAAAATACTGATAAAAAGTAGCTGTACTTGTAATTTGTTAGCTAGCGTTAAAAGACTTGAGAATTATAATTGATAAATCGACAATTTCTTTTGTAAATTAAGACGCTAGCTTTAGGGGCTAATTAATTTCGAGTTGGAACATTAGGTTAGTGATAATAAGAGCAACTTAAATTTAACAACTTATCAAATGCATTTTATTGCAGGAATTTGAGGAAGCAAATATGTCTCATTTTAAATGTGAATTGAGAACTAAAATTCCTTGTATGGGGTAAAAATTTCCTCCATAGTACAAGCATTATATATAGTGGCATTCATGATAACAATTGACAAGCAATTCATGATCGACCTCTTTATTTTATTTTGAACCTTTCCATTTCTCTAGTCTCACTTTGAATATTGGCACCAAATGTCAATTTGCACATTAATAGATGCAAGACCAATAGCTAAAACAAGCAAGTCATCATTTTTATCATGCCTATCTGCAGAATTTCAGAAAAAAAGAAAGTGAACAAAAAAAGAGATACTTTACGACAAATTGTTCTAAAATAGATATAGTGGCCAGCCTGGATTGTCAAACATAAAATGATTATGAGGTTTTGCTATGACAATTTTTTGTTCGACTGTTAGGAGGCAAACGAAACATCTTTGAAGCTTTTGTATCGATAGTCAAACATCAAAATGCGTGTCTTGAACATCAAATATATATATATATATGTTTTTATCATTTGATCATCGGTATATATTTTCCACTTTAATTTATAACGCTTAAGATCAAATTGTTCGAGTTAATGTAAATAAATGCTAACAAGTATTTTCCTATTGCTGATAATTAAACAGTAAACATGCAGTAAACACACTTCAATCAATCCACTCTAAACTAGCAGGATACTTGGAGTCTTGGATACGTGCATTTATTTGAATGCTGAAAGTTTAACTTCGCATCAGATTTAAAATGTCGCAATCTAATCTTATGACACGTATTGTTTGCTTTAGCCTAATAGACAGACCTCTTGGCTCTTGGATTTGCATTTCATAATATATATATCATCCAATGCAAAAACGTGCATTTCATGTAAACTTATGTTATGACTTCTTAAACTCTTTCATTTTTCATTATCATTTCAATGTACTATTCGCCAAAAGTGTAATATGCAACCATTTTTTCAGAAATTTGTCGGCCTATATACAAAAGTAAATCAATCTTTCTCTTTTTCCTGCCCATATCAATCTTTCTCTTAGTCAGCTCATATGGTTGTCACACTAAAGTTGTCAAAAAAACGCTGAATCACAATCTTAGAAGATCTTGTTAAAACCCTTTTAATTTATTCTTAATTCTTTGTTTGTTTCTTTGGCATGCAGCATATATAATAAAACATAGTATTGTTTGCTTAAGCAAGAAAAATATACAAAAGGTAGGAATTAAGCAATTTGTAAGAAGGCATTTGTGCTTTAGCGGCCGAAAGCGCTTAACGGATCAGAGCTTTTGACTGGTCGAATATTTCCCTTTTTAACTTCAAACATTCTTTTCACTTTGGTTTTTTTTTAAGGCACATCCCATTTCTTTAAAGCAAAAGTATATATGAAAACATGACTTTTAGATATATGGCCTTCCGCGTTTGGTCAACTTTGGTAATTACGACATATTTAGGTTATTATTTTTCTCCAAAACTCTATTTAATTAAGTGCGTTTTTAGTTATTAATTCAGTTAGCGTATTGTATTTGAATATTCAAAGCTTTCCATCAAGTTGTACTTCTTTTGCTGGTCATCTCATAATCATTAGAATAATGATTTATAATTTCTTAATTAAGTTAATTAAACACATTACTTAGTCCGCTTTATGTTAAAGCAGCTAGCCTTTGCGGTTGGAGAAGACCGTGGAGTGGAGTGGATTGAGTTGAATTGAATTAAAATAAGGCACCACTGGTATATTTTCTTGTATCCATCACCACCTTTACAAATACCTCTTCAATGCACGTAACCTTTGTTGTTTTATTGGGTTAGTGGCGGGCCAAGATTTTCATTAACGATGTTCTAAATATAAAAAAAGTAAATAAACAAAGAAGCCAAAGAGGCCGAGGTTCAATATCTACTATATATATATTTATTTTATTTTCATGTAAAAATAATATAATTTTCCGTAAGGAGCGACTTCTCTCTTTATCAGAATAAACAGAAATGCTGAAATTAAAAATTATGTCCAACTTCCATGCACCACCACATGCAACTTTATTTTTTAAAAAAGGAGTTATAACTATATGGTAATTTTATCTGATGATTATTTTGTTTTAAAAACATCTTAATATAATGGTATGCAAGCCTAACAATGATCGTTTTCATTTTTTAATATAAGTAAAATATCATATGGGACCATGATAATCAAGAGACAGATAAGAAAATTGGCCTATATATATCACAATAAATATGTAAGAACTATTCATTCATCATTAAGTATGTGAAACAAAAATGTCAACTTTTACTAGATATTCTTCAATTTGAACGGCGATTCTGCAACGTAACCTACTCTATAGCATTTTCAGAGCTCTCTAGCCACAACAAGTTCATGAAATAAATTCCCATGCCAGGTCCCCATATTTCACTGTCCTCCAGATATCCCCATAACACTACGTACAACACACGGCACCACAAATTAAATAATCATAACAAGAAGACTACACAAAAAAAATTAAATTCCCAACCACCTAAAAAAAGAACAAGTAATAAAAAGAAGATGGTTGATCATGAAGAAAACCAATAAAAGAACATTCTTGGCTGTTCTAGATAAATGAATGTCTATCATATATGCATTAAAATATAGAAACCTTGATTATATCATACGTACGTTGCTTCACAGAAGTGTACGTCTATATCGAATATTAATACTCAAACTTGCATCTCACTCTTGGAATTTTGATTTCTACTAATAAATTTGTTTGGAATTATTCTTGGATTATTCTGTTCCTACAAATTATAGTAGGGGAGAAAGGAGCATCTCGTGCTCACATACGTTCTTGGGAAAAGCATGTTGCAATCTATCATGACACAAATATTAGGGACTAATTTCACAGAGATAATTTATCGTTATTTTGAGACTCCTTCAACCTAGGCCACAAGAAGGGGTCATAATTATGGATGAGGAGAGGTCACAAAATTGAGTGAGAGAAACAAATTCAAATGTCAACCTCCGAGTTAATGGTGTTCATTCAGATTTTCCTATTCCCTTTAACAACTCGAAAATAAAAACAATAATTCACGTTTAACGGACCCCAGAAGGCGTTCCCAAAACTTAAAACTCTTAGCAATACAATGCCATTTTCAATTATCATTAAATATAAATACTGCTACTTTCAATCGGAATACGACTATATATTAAACAAATAGGTATTACTCCGTATCTATTTATCTACCAGTAAATTAATTTTACCTTTGAAGATGTATATGTCTTTCTCTGGTCATTTTTTAATTCAACTTTGGTATTTTACATACATTGTAGTCCACTTAAAGATAAAATATCGTCATTTCCCTGACATCCATGTATGTTAAAAGTCTCCCTTTTCACTCATTCAAGTTCACACTAGAAGTTTGTGATTGTCATTCTCTCAATTTCATTATAAATTGATGCCACCACACAACACCGAGTTTATTGAACTATAGACAAGATATATATTCCTCTTCATCTCTTCCTGCATAGTACTAAAAAATTAAGCATCTAGCTAAAGCTAAATAATAAGTCATGTCTAAAGCATCTGCTAGCTTTTTCTTCATCATCCTTCTCCTCTGTTTTGCCCTGTCCTATGCTGCTCGCCCTCAGCCACTATTTCACGAGGCTACTCTCAACAATATTCAACACCAGGTACGTAATCTGATTGTTGAATTGTGTAATTATCTCATCTAAAATACTTAGTTACGTTGTTAAATATATAACGTTATTATTATTCACAAATAATTTAGTCTCGTATTAGTATAAAATAATTTGAATTATTTCAGGATGTTGTTGAACCAAAGGAAGTTGGTAAGGAAGAGAGTTGCAAAGGAGTCAAGGAAGAAGAATGTTTAGAAAGGAGGACTTTGGCTGCTCATCTTGACTATATCTATACCCAAAATCAGAACCCTTGAAGAAAGTACTATTCCCAATGACGAAAATGATCAGTTAATTTGTTTTACGATGGTTAATTGACCTAAGTTTTCGGTTAATTTATGTTTCACTAAAGTAGTGATAGAACGAGTGAGTTATCACATATACTAGTATATAGTATTGCTTTTGGTGTGTTTCATGTTGATTTTTCCTGTACGCTAATAAATCCAATATCACGATTACTTGATTTTCTTGTATGCAAGTTGATCCATTAGTAGAGCAAGTTCTTTTTTTTTTTTTTTTTACCAAAAAACCATTCACACAGAAGTGTTCACCTCCTGTGTGATGGGGGGTTTGGCAAGACCCCTTGTAGAGCAAGTTCACTATATAGTTTTTTTTACTTCTTACAAAAACAATCGCAATACTGAAAAAATCTATCTTTAATGAAAGAAGTATGTATCAAGATAAATAATGTTTTTATTTAAAATTTATCATATATCGAACTAATCAAACTTATTGCAATACTCCACGTCAACGTTAGCGCAGCATTTCGACCACGGAGACAAGAGAAGACCGGTTGTTAGTTGTTGAATTAATAAAAGGAGAGCGTTGGACTTGTATGTACTATGCTTATTTTTGGCTAAATCCTAATATGGAGTAGTGATTAATATATTATCATGAATTCAAGTAAGTACCAATAAGAATGACGACTTAAAAGTTGACATATATTTGGTTTTATCCAGAGATATTTTTCATCTTCTGCTGGTAATATAATATAGTACAAGATATCAAATTTATCCGTGCACCATAAGTCCATAGCTGTACTAGGTGACTGAACCCTAATTTTCTAGAAGATTTAAAATATGAAGAAGTAAACATATGAAGAAGAAGTTAAGGTGGTTCAACATCTACTAAATATATATTCAAAAATAATTTTAACCATGTATAAAAAATGTAATTTCCACCAAAGGAGGTTTGGATGAACCCCTTGATCCTACCTGACTCCGTCCTGTAGTTTTGGACTAATATTTTCAATTGGGGACGTTCCTCGTCCATATTCATGATCATGTTGTGATTACAAAGTGGCACTATATCAAGACAAATATGTTATCGTTAAGAAGAGAAATAAAAAAATGTCAAGCTGCTGTACTAAATGTGCTTCGACCAAGACGACTATTCTATTTCTGTCAACTACATATTTAGAGTTTTCCAAAGAGCTGTAGTAGCAAATTAGAGATGCATGCATATTGTCCCCATATTTCTTTTTCCTCCAGAATATCCACAAGACTATACAAGTATAAAACCAAAATAATAATAATACTATAACAAGAAGACTAGGATTAAATTTTAATTTCTATTTTATTCTAGAATGTGTGGACTATTACACGTGTTTTTACTCGTGTGGAAAAATGCTTAGCTTGGGCCAGGTAGAAAAATAAAACGCCCTGGTATCATGAAAATCTCTTTGACCAATGCGTAAATCGAATACTCAAACTTGCATCTCATTCTCAGAATTTTGATTATTCATTATCTGTTTGAGAATAATACCGCTGAACTACTGTTCTATTGTTCTTTCCAATTCCTTCATGCTGTGCAAGCTGGGGAAAGGCCTTTTCCCGATAGTTATCCTTGTTCAAGGGGAGTCAATTGGAGGAAATGAAACATTTTGGCCACTTATGAATCGAGTAGAAGAAAATGACCCTTTTCAGATCTCTTATGTGTAAAAATAAAAATGATAAGTGGCTTACAAAATTAATTCTCCCTTTAATTACGCTCATCACAAAAGAAGTTGCACCCCAATTTTAGCTAAATATATTGGGTCAGCAAAGCATAAATGCCTTTCTAATTGAAAAAAGATGAATACTAGTTGCAACAGTTAGGAAACGTAACAACCATTTATCAATGGCGTTATTTACGTAGCTATGAGCTTTCCTTTTATTAATTAATTCTCGTGGTCACCGTTAATTTAATACTCCAAAGATTCCTTCTTCTTCTACCCTTTATTGTTAAAATAAAAGACTTTAGTTTAACATACTTATATCCTGGTCCAAATTGAGAAAACAATTAATTTCTTGATTCTCCATTACCCAAATATCTTTAAAGTCTCCCATTTAACTCATCCTAGTTCACACTCAATCGTTGAGATTGGCCCTCCATTTTGTAGTATAAATACATGCCACCACATAACCACATGCTTCATATAGAGCTAGAGTTACATTGCAATAATACTCAAACCAAGTATCAAATTAACAACCAATTGAGCATGTCTAAAGCCAATACCAGTTTTTTCTTCATTATCCTTCTCCTCTGTTTTGCCCTGTCCTATGCTTCTCGCCCTGAGCCAGTTTTTCACGAGGCCACCCTCAACCTCAACAACATTGATCACCACCAGGTAACCAAAATTCAATATGTCGTGAAATTTTCACTTTCTTTTCGATAAATTTTATGATTAAACATTAGACGATGATCTAAAATTTTGTTATAATTATTACGTTTCAGGATCATGTTATGGAATCAAAACAAGTTGCAAATGAAGAGAGCTGCAACGGAGGGCAGGATGAAGAATGTTTAGAAAGAAGGAATTTGGCTGCTCACCTTGACTATATCTATACCCAAAATCAGAACCCGTGAACTAGTTTGCCATTTGGTACATTGAAAGTAGACGAGACAGTTATATATATCACACATTAAAATTACCTTACTGTACATCTGTCCGGTTGATTTTTCCTGTACCATAAAATGAATTAATCGCATACAAATTTTCTTCTTCCATCCTAGATTCTGTTTTGCTTTCTATATAAGTATTTTTACAATTTGTGATTTTAAACATATTTGTGACATTTATAAGAGAATCTTATCAAGAGTATAAAATTAAGGAGTTTTTCAATATACAAAAAATAGTACTCCGTCATTTTTTCCCCATAATATCCTATAAAATGAGAAAACCGAGGGACAAATTGATACCTCAAATTTAAAAAATTAAAATAACTGCTAGAATTTTTAAAAATGCTTTGCTACATGGAGAACAATATAGAAACCTAGTAGTAGTAGCTTAACATGAAAATAGTTGAGATATTTCTATCATGAAGATCTTGTATTTAAGTTTTAAAAATGAAAAAAGAATCATACTGGAAATAAATTAGTTGAGTTTTAATATAACAGGTTTTTTTTTTTAAAATTACGTTCAAAGTAATTTAATCGAATTCTAATATGACAGGCGAGAGGAAAATTGAAACCAAGAAAAAAACATGTAAAAAACGGCAGAGTATAAAATGTTATTCAACTAGCAGATCTGATGACAACGATTTAACAGCACAAGGTTGGCTATGTAATTGCTGAAAGGAGCCGTGTTAAATTGTAATACATCTATCTGATCAATAAAATACGGGAAAATTATATGAAATAACAAATTATTAATTTAAATTAAATATTTTAGTTATAGTTTATTTTAATTGTAATTCGCAGCAAATATTTTTTTTTTTTGCCATCTGATTCGGTATACAATTAGTCATTTTATACATTTCTGTATTGTGTTTGTATAAAACGAGAGAAAAGTGTATATACAAATACAAATACATATATTTCCGTCATATACACTTATAATTATATAAATACAGATCTTATTATACAAATTACAATGTATAAATGAATTTATACAAAACTGAACAATTTGTATAAAATTGAATGTTTGTAGCGAATTATACAAATCAAAAGCTCCGCAATACAAACTATAGTTATAACATACAAATATGATTTTTATGCTTGTTATATGTGAAAGTTGCTCATAAAATATTCCCTTCGTTTTAAAAGAATGACCTAGTTTTCCTTTTTAATCTGTTTTAAAAAAACTAACCCCTTTATTTATATAATATTTTAACATCAACTTTCCACGTGACATGTTTAAGGCCATAAGATTAAAGAAAATTTGGTAGATTTGACACAACTTTAATTTAGAATCACAAGATAAAAAAAATTTCTTTCTTTTTTTTAAATTCTATTATAAGTCAAACTAGGTCATTCTTTCTAAAACGGAGGAAATAACCTTTTCTTGCCACATCTTAAAGATAATAGTAAGATTACCATCTTTGACAATTGTCAGTCAGTTGAATCGGTTGTATCTCAAGGTGGATGTATTTCTAGTACACCACCATTAGATTTTATTTTTATTTTCAGTAGGACAAAGGTTAAACTGATTCTTGACTATAGAATGCTAAATTCATATATATATATATATATATCATTATTATTAGTCATAAGATAACCAATACATAGGGGTGTTCACGGGTCGGTTTGCATCAGTTATTGGTTAAAACCAAAATCAAATCAACTTAATCGGTTTTAAAATTATCAAAATCAAACCAAACCAAATATAATATACATTTATCGGTTTTGGTTTGGTTCGGTTATTCAGTTGTAAACCATACACAAAAATAAAAGAAACAATTCATTCAAAATGTGAAAAAAGTGACAACAATCCATTCAAAACAAAAAATAGTTAGAATGACTTAAATTACCGAACTTTCAATCATTGCATTGACTACCAATAAAGCTTTAAAATTCACTATATTGGCCTAGAAGGAAGAGACAATAACATTTTCAGTCCCACAAAGAATTGTCAGACACTCATATACATGAAATCAATAAGATAAATGTTTTCACCTTAGGCATTCTTGCTTTCAATAAGTAAAGTATAAAGAAATTTTAATGAAAACATATATAAGATCTTTAAAATTAGTTTATAAAAACAATATATTAAGTATGTACATTAATAAAATATATGTATATAATTCATCGGTTCGATTTGGTTATTTCTTCGAGTTTTTTTCGAATAAAACCATAACCAAACCAAATACTACCGGTTTTCAAAATCTAAAACCAAACCAAACCAAACCCAAATAAAATTGGTTTTATTTTACCGATTTGATTTGATTTTTCGATTTTGATCAGTTTTTATCCAACCCGTGAACACCCCTACCAGTACATATGTTATTATTAATCATTGTACATAATTCGTTGCATCTTGGAGGAACTCTAATATGCATGTACCAATTCATAGGTTTACAATCGACCAACATAGACACTTCCCCATAATTCCATTGCAGTACCATCACCTAACAAATTGGATGACAAAGGGCCTGTTTGGATGGGTTTATAAAAATAACGTATAAGTTAAAGCTAAATGTCATAAGTAGAGAGTACCCTATTTTTGGCTTTTGATTTATTTTAAATCTATTTTGATCTAAATGTGAGTACTTAAAAACAATTTTTAATATTTTCAAACACCTCCATGTTTATAGTTTTGAGTTTATGTCTTTTGCCGTTGTACAAATATGTTAACGTAAAAGCTAATTGTAGTTAAATGTATAACCAATCATGAGTTGGTAACTTCAGAAGTATAGTGAATAACCTAATGGAATAGATCAAATTACATTAAGTGTGTAAAAATGGTTTCATGCCATTAATCATATTCAATACAAAGAAATTAAGATAACTTAATGAAACTTATATAGGAGTATACTAAATTGAATGGTAGTTGAAGGTAATTTCCAAAAGTAGAAGGGGAGTTGTGTAATTTTCTTAAGGAATAGGAGACGTGAATGTGATTGATCAAAACATTAGCTCCACAGCCGATGCCCGGAAGCTCCGATCTCTTTGCTTCTCAAGACGGGAACCACTGAACTGAGAGAAGATTAGAAGAAGATATAGGGAAGATGTTCAGGAGAAGATTTTTGTCGTTTCCGCTGGTAATTGGCGCAGTTATGTAAGTTCCTTATTACCATTCCTCCATACTAGTGTTGCTCAAGATTAACATATGATATGCTTCAGTTTGGATTCATTACTGACCTATCGCAGTCCCCAAACAGCAAAGAGGAAAACCAGAAAAGAACCCATTATACTGCGTAATCTAGGTTTTTAAAAAATTAATCATGAATTGGAGCAAAGGTGTTTGAAGGAATGCCTAAATGAACCACCCTCTTCCCCTCTCCTAAGTCATCAATTGAAGAGGAATTGATCAAAGTAATGTAGTAATAATGTTTTCATTTAGCGCGAGATAGAGTAGAAGTTCCCGTTAACCTAATGATTAAGAGAATGAAATTTCTTTGGTTAGTCCTTCAATTGTTTGTGTTCTGTTATTATGGTATAGGTTCAAGTCTCAAAAATTGTAGACACCATCCTTGACTTGTCCTAAATCTAGGTTGCTGTTTGTTTTCTCTTGATTTCTGTGGTTCCTATTGTTCTCCAACAATGAAGTCTCTGTTTAAGCTTGTTTCACCTGCCTAGACAAAATTTTGGACTTCCTGAAGATACTACAATTTGATAGGCAAATCTACCCTGTACAGCAACTAAAACTGAGCCTAAAACCTCAGTGAAATATCTAAGCACTTTTGGGGATCAATATTGATCTGACTACCAATTTTTTCCTCAGGAAAGTAAGGAGTATGAGACAATCCATTAGATCTAGCTCCTCCTTCCATACATGCAGATGGCCACAACCAGTGGATCAATGGATTTCCTTTGACCATGGGCTGAAAGTGAGTGGGAGAACATCCTCGATCTCAAGCTCCCCAGCAACAAAATAGAGAGATAAAAAGAAAAAGTTAAAAAAAGGACCTATTTTCCTTCTCTCATTTACCCTTTTGTCTTCTTAGCTTCTGCTATATGTACCTTTGGACATGTTTCTGCTGCTATGGTTATCAGACAATGCAATGATGCACCTTTTGTTATATTTGGTGTATGGTTGCGAAGTATGCATTTTTTGTGCCATCCCTGGTGCATTTACTTCTGTGCATTTTGACATATTGACAAGCTAGAGATTGAGAAGGGGTTTATCAAAGAAAAAATTAGAAGAATCATTAATAGGCGCTGCCTGTGCTCTTCACAGTTCACAGGTTGGAGCTGCCACATCCTTAGTACTGCTCTTTTCTGTTGAACTATCAATGAACATTACTCTAAGAAAGCCAAGCTGCTAGAATGCTCAACCTGAATAGAGATCCTTTAATTTGTCAAACACCGTGTTTCATTTTCCTCTTTTTCTTTGCCAACATTTTGATTGTGAGTTGCCTTGTTAAAGAGAAGGCTGTCTTATGTTTCTTAAGAGCTATTGCTGCCTCTTTTAGCCCTTCAAGATACTTAAGAGTGCATTTGTAGTACTCTCTTGTAGCACTAACAAATAACTGCTGCATATGCCCTTTCTATTCCTCTTCTTCCTGTTAAGTAATTGCTTTACTGGTACTTCTTATCATTCTGATCTCTTGAAAATATTGCTAGCCTGCCTTTTCTTCAATCATTACCTTTGATAAACTTGGCACCTTTCTTCAGCTTGGTGTTTGTGAGGCATGATTAACTTAATTAATTAAAAATTACTATGCAAATGAACAGAATGTGTATGCGCTGAATTTGTTGGAACCTAAGTTAAATCTCTAGAGTATATAGTTCATAGTAGAAGTAACAATTATGGGAGATTAGATATATTGTATTTTTCCAGTATACCAGCTTCATGTCTTTCTTGACCAGAGCAGTTGCTGACATGGCGTTCACATCTGCATGTTTATTCTCTACAGTTCAGAAGTTACGACTTACATCATTCTAGACCTCGGTCAATAATTAATACGTATACTAGCATTGTGTTTTTATTTCCATTTGCTTGATCTTTTACTTGGCCAATCTGTAGAATTGGAGTTGTATCTGGGAAAGCTATATTTGCACAACCACTTGATGAATATTGGAAGAAGAAACTTCAGGAGAAACCAGCCGCAAAAGAAAATGATTTAAGCACCTCATAGAACGATCAGATGCATATATGTGCCTAATATCATGCTAGTGTTTTTCTGTTGGCACTCTTTAGAAATGCTTTCTGCAGACGCATCCTCATCCAAATAGTTTACGCCATGATTATTTGGAAATTTCATCCTTCAGTTGTTTGTATGAGATTTCCCATCAAAATTATCTGGGTTTTTTCTTGTTGAAAATAGACACGCAAAAGCAACCACTGTGGCATTGTGGTTCAGGAGAAATATTATATGTCAATTGGAATAAAATTGTGCCCATGTTACTTTACGTCTCTTATTTTTTCTTTTCCCTTCCTCTGCTTACTGCATCTTACTTGGAACCAAGAAAGTCATCCTCTTTGAAGTACTTGGATTAAGAATTTGTGATCAAAATTAATCATTTAGAAAGCATGGTCGTTACTGAATGTAGTATCATGAAACATAATTTGTTCCTCTTTAATTTGGAAGGATCTCTACTTGGCACAAGTATGCGTCCGTTTCTTGGTTCTGTTATCCAATGGCTTGGCGGATGCAGATGGAATAAATTTTTTAGAACATTAGCGCTGAGCGCCTGAATTGACAATTACGAACTTATGCTGAAATGCGTGTCAAAATCACATTTTTTCTAGGAAGGCCACCAATACGTAGAGTTTGCTTCAAACGTATCTCATTCATCAATATTTTGATTCGAGGCCGTTTGAGGTAGATCAACATTTTTGCAGCCTACTTAGTTGCTTTTGGTGCAACCATGAAGCTGTGGGTCTAAAATGGCGGGATTATCATCTATTTGAGTGGTTCCTATTCGCTAAATGTGTTCTTTTAAAAGAAATTCAGCACCTCGTAAGACTGATTTTGCCAATTATCTTGTTGACAATGGAACATGCCATTATCAGAAGCTATTCTGGTATTCCTTTTTACTAGTATATAAATTCTTATCACTGGCTCCTACAACAAATGCCCTTACTATACACCTGACTCGAGTACAAGAACTTCAACTGTTGATCATTGATTACATAGCTTTTAATATTTTCTTTATTTACTAGAACTATGATCACCTCAACTGAATGAAGAAAAGCAAAAGAACCGTTGCCAGGAGACAGAAAAATTACAGGCATAATTACATTCACTTTGACAAACTTGAATTGAAATACAAACAATCAACAAGAACAGACAAATCATATACAGTTGTGTACTATCCAAGATTCCCTTGGGAAAAGAATGTACTAATACTCTAGGAAGCTTAACAAATAAAAAGTTATCTTCCCCAGATTCTATTCGAAACTTCCTAATTTGGAACCAAGATCCAAGGACCATTAAGTATGTGCAAACACAAAGCGAGGCATACACTAACAGCAATAGAAGATTTCCCACTCACATACCTGCAAGCTTCACTACTCCTATCAACCACTTCCTCTTGTATAACATCTACACTTCTTCTCAGAGTCACAACTTCCTCCTGGACAACATCTATGCTTTTTCGCACACACTCATACAACTTTTCCAGAAGAAACTCCAAGAAAGATCTAACACTCTCAAAGGTGACCCTCCCAGTCAAATCAAGAATAAACCTTCTATTTCTTGGCACTGCCAAAGTAGAAGATACTTTATTTGTCCACCCAGTGTACATGTTCTCATCTTCGTCCCAAAATTTCTTGGCTTTGAAACTAAGTGGCATAGACGAATATATTTCCGAAGTTGTATCCATATCACCATTTGTCAAAACTTGATGAGAAGTTTTGACAAAAGTTCCAATGGCACCACTACATATGGCTACTAACATATCTCTCATTTTGGTTTCATGCTTGGGATTTGTTAACCCAGAAAAGATTTCATTGTAGGTGTTGATGTTCATTGTTCTATCAAGATACACAGCAACTGCAGTACTCACAAACAATTGTATACAATTTCCTATAAGTTCTCTGCACTTGTCCTGGCATAGAACATCAGCCCATCCTGGAACAGAGTGTTCAATATCAGAATCAGTAGCATTGCCTTTTTTGTCCGAACAATAAGCAAGAACCAAATTCCTCGCGAAGCTCCCAACAATTACAGAAGCAAAACCAGACCCTGCATCAGTAAACAGTTTATCTAAAACCTGGTCAAAAAGCCCAGAATTTGCAGCCCCAGAAACACCATTTTCCGCAGTTTCTTGCTGGTAGCCTCGCACAACTCCTACGGTCAACGCACTAGTGACCTTAACAATAGATTGTGAAAACTCATCTGATTTAGCAATCTTAGAAATCTGTTTCAAACTTCTAGGAATATGATCAGAGTCAGAGGAAATGAATTCCTTCAGATCTTTCGAAACAATCCCAATTACATCAGCAGAATCAGCCACCATCTCAGCTAAAGAAACAAAAGCACTTATGAGCTTCAAAAATCTTTTCCTCTTTCTAACCATAGAGGGTGAGTAATAAGCCCTATAAGCGCCATAACCAGTAACACCTAGAGCTCCTAAAGCAACAACCCAGTTCCTATTTCTCCTAGTATAACCCAAACCCTTCCTTAATAGCTTTAAATCCGCATAATTCAAAGCCATAAATCTCCAAAAATCTGGGATTCTGGACTTCAATTCTCAAAAGGGGTTTTAGAAAATATTAAATACATCCAAAATTCAGGCAATTTGCTTATAGAGTTAAGGTGGAAAGATGTATACCAACTTGAAAATGCTCAAGGCTGACGTAGAATCAGTTTTTGACCATCTAGATTCTGGTGCAGTTGGGCATCAGCAACAGAGAAAAAAGGAGAAGAAAAAATGGGGAAACAAAAAAAGAAGAAGCTGATCCATTATAGAAATACTGTATAAATTATGAAATATTAAACTGATAAGCACGACTTAAAATAGGACAGCTATAACTAGGCCTACTCAGTTTCAGCTTTCACGCTAGGTCGTTGTTGTCTGCATTTATTTATTGTTAGTATTTCATTAGATATTTTTTATTTTATATTATATAATATGATTGAATGATAATTGTGTGGGGCTAAATGGATATGGATACAACTTATAAGGAGAATTCTGGAAATTAAACAGTTAGGTATTCTGTTAAATGCAAGGAAAATGGTATTGGGAAGGATATAGATGATGGAAGTTTATGGACCCACAGTTATCTTTAGAGATGATCCACAGTCAAAAAGCGGTGTACATAATTAGCTACTAACTTTGATGACCTGGCTTTGTCTTCTCTTGCCAAGTGCTTGCAACCAACTGGCTCCTTGTGGCCGGACTTTCATTTTCTCGTTTTCCCTTTTCTCTCATTGTATCTATTATTATTTCCATCGTTTCAATTTGTTATTTTTGTTACTAAAAACTCCATATACTTTTTCTAAAGTATGATAGGGGTGTTCAAAGAAACTCCATATATATTTTGGGTTATGAAGGGTGATTATGGCGTCATGCGGAAGTTTACAATTGCAAATAATATGATTGATAAATTAGACGACACATAAAACTATACTAAAAGACATAATATTATTATATGATATGACCAATTAGCCTACATAATTAAAAACTAATAAAAAGACATTAAGCCTGTAGAGAGAAAATCTCCCATAAACAAAACTCTTAATTGTCTACATTGTGGATTCTATTGTGTTATGCTATGAAAATAAGAATCTTCAATTTATAGATCTTCAAACTTTTCCTCTAAGGAAAGAATAAACCAAATATGGAAGAAAATTAGATTTTCCTTTCAGAAAAAGTTTAAGCATTTATGGTAATACTTTGACTTTTCTTTAAGGAAAAAAAATAATCTTCAAACAAGGAAAGAAAATCAGGGCAAAACCCTAACAATATCTTCTGCTATGAAAATATAAATGTATACCTCAAAAATAATATTACTCTTTGGAACATAAATTTAAGATCAGCAAAAATGCAAATGACCTGTATAAGATTGTTTGCCTTGCCGATGCAGGCCTGGGTTACCCAACAGAAATATAGATAATTAGGACCAAAGAAGTCCAATTCACAACTAAAGGAATTGGATTATGTTTGGCAATTGCCTTCAAGAAGTCTGGGAAAAGCCCAACAACAATCATACGTATAGAAGAAGTATAAATACTTTTAGGAGTCGTTTGATATGCAGACTAAATTATCCTGTTATTATGGTCCTAGAATTATAATTGATTGACTAATTTATCCCCTTAGGAGATGGACAATCATATGATTAATTATGAAATTAAATTTATATTACGTTTAAGAGATGATATCTCAAATTTAATTATGAGATATACCATCTTATCTGAGATATCAAACAACCCCTTAATTAGATCAAGTGAAATGAATTTTTCTAAAGTTGAAAGATTCTCTCATATAATAACACGTACTAGCTCCTTCAAAATGCATGAATGAAAAATAGTAATTACGCTAATGTGATTATGATACAAAAGAAAGATATCAATCAAGTAATCACCCACCATACATACACGATATACATAAGACGTATTCCGTTTTGATATAAGAGATTTAAAGCCAATAAAAACGACAAGTCTACAACCGAACTTCTTTTCATTATAACAGTACGTACCTTGCAACCTATTTCAGATTTGATTCATGATGTGAACCCATACCATCTCGGAGGAAAGATGATTTGTTAGAAATAGAATGCTCTGATTCGGTTTGCTTCCATAGAGCTCGTCGCATTAGATTGTTTAATGTAATTTATATATTCTGTGTGATTTAAAAGTGTATAAGAGCAAATTTACACATTACATGTTTAAAAAATAGCAACTACAAAAAAACACACGCTCGGAATACATAATTAATCTGTATTATATATTATTTTTGTTGAGTAATCGTTGAATACTCTCATAATCATATAAAACTTAACTGAATCCTTTCTCACTACATGCCAGCTAAAACATAACGACAAGCCTCTAAATGAAGAGCATTTTGATTAGTAATTCAATTATAGCCAAGGTTTCGTCATCAGCTGATCATTCGATTTTCAGATTAGACAAATGTGAATGACGGCTTTTCACAATAATAATTCTTTTGTTTAATCAACTTATTAATCATTGTGTAGTAGTAATACTAAAAAGTTTTGACAACTTAATTAGTAGGGGACGTGATGCAACAAAAGTCCTTGCGTTATTTTTTTTAGTAAGAGCCGGGAAAAAAGGGTCACATGACCCATAACTATAAAAGAAAAGAAGTTTGCGGCTACAATTTATGCTTGGCAGCTACGAATTGACACCTACGACCTGAGCCGCCGCGGTTAATCTATAAGTTTGCCACGCCATATTTGACTCTACTCGTGGCGTGTCACATATGCATCCCCAGCTTTACCTTTTTTTTTCTTTTTTTTTCTTTTTTTATTGTATTTCCTAATTCCTTCGCTCTTATTCTTATGAAAATAAAATAATGATAATAATATATATGCATATCGGTTTCAATTTGTGAATTATTTTATAAAAATTTGGAAGAAAAAATAGAATTTAAATTTGTCATAATATTTATATAGTAGTAATAATTTTTTTGAAATTTACAATTTTAAACCTGTCTTAATATTTATAATGATATAAAAACTTTTTACTTCAAAGTTAATAATATTAGATAGAGGTCATTCTTTTTACATACGTAGAGACATGTGATATTAAATATATGAGATTATAACATCTATAAAACTGTAAAAACTTTTTATTAAGAATAAAATAAAAAAAATAAAAATTGCATAATTTCAACAATTAGAAAAGGAATATGATGTTTTTAAAACCGACTAAGAAAATTAGGTTTACATCTATATATTATATTAAAAGCACGAAGATCCTTAATAATGTTGTTTCAACTTTTTGTCCTTCATTGAAAGATCCGCTTCAGACAGAATCATCTTTTGAAATAAAATACTCGATCCAAAAAAAAAATAGTAAATTTTTTTCAAAAATAATAAGCAAAAAAAAAATTAAAACGTCCAACAATAATTGTCAATAATTGTGGGATGATAACAAATAAATTTGGTGATAGTAGTTGGAGATGGCTTATCGTCGTGGCAGTCATATACTATAGTGATTAAGAATGAAATTGTTGTGATCGTACTTGACAGTAATAATGCTAGTGATTATGTTAGTTATTGGTAACAGTAATGATATTGATGGTGGTACTAGTTTACTATGATGATTGGTGTAATGGTGAAGAAAATGTGTTATTAATAACGATAGTGATAATTTTGATAGCAAAGATGATTTATTGTTATTGTTAATAGTGATAATTATACAATGATTAAATCGTTGATGATAATTGTGAGCAGAGTACTAATAATGAAAATCATTTTTTTTTATCAAAATCTTCTAATAATTTTTAATAAAATGTAACATTATATAAAAATTCTTAACTAATATTTATAATATTCAAGTTATTACAAAAAAAAGAATTAAAAATATTGAAGTTAATAATATTGACGTGACAACACACGTGCAACACACGGACTCTAAACAAGTATATTAAAATTCATGGGAATATTATATAAACAAATTCTTAAATTATGAAGTATAATCAATGATGCGATTTTGTCATGGTAGTCGATGCTAATAGTTGTTATGGGAGAGGAGTGTTGACAACAATAGTTGTTAGTAATTGTGGGATGATGTTAAATATATTTGGTGATAGTAGTTGGAGATGATTTATCGTCATGGCGGTTATACAAGAATGATGATATATTGATAATGAGATTGTTGTGATTGTAACTGACAGTAACAATGCTAGTGTTTGTGTTAGCTATTGGTAATAGTAATGGTATTGATAGCAATAATAGTTTGCTATGATGATAACTATAATGGTGAAGGAAACGTGTTATGATAACAACAATGATAATTTTCATCGAAGAGATGAATTCACAAACTTTAAATTTAAATCTATCATAATATTTATATAATTATAACTTTCTTTAAAATTGATATTTTAAACACGTTGTTAAATTTATAAGGATATAAAAACTCTTCACTAAAAATAAAATGAAAAGTTATTTAAAGTTTTTAGATAGAGGTCATTCTTATTACATATGTAGAGACATGTGATATTAAATATGTTATTAACATCTATAAAATAGTAAACAATAATTATTAGGAATAAAAAAAATTAAATCGCATAATTTCAATAATTAGAAAAAGGGATATGATGTTTTTTAATAGACTAATTAGAAAATTAGGTTTACATATATTAAAATTAATGGGGTTATTGTATCAAAAAATTCTTAAATTATAAAGTAGAATTAATGATGTGATTTTGTCATGGTAACTGATAATAGTAGTTGTTATGGAAGGTGGCAACTGCAATAGTTTTCAGTAATCATGTCCTGATGACAAATATATTTGGTGAAAATAGCTAGAGATGGTTTATCGTCGTGGGCTTGTGGTGATCATGTAATAATGGTGATTGATAATGAGATTGTTGTGATCTTAACGTACGCCAGTAATGCTAGTAAATATGTTGGTTGTTGGTAATAGTAATGGTATTGATAGCAGTATTAATTTACTATGATAATAAGTTAATAACTATAACGGTGAAGAAAACGTGTTATAATAACGACAATGATAATTTTGATAGCA